GGGGGGGGGGGGGGGGGGGGTGGGTGTGTGCGTGTGTATGTGTGTATGTGTGTGCGATGTTGGCTGTACACAACCCCACAAAAAAAAGAGACATTGCTTTGCCTGATTGTTTCCTGGAACTTTAACCCACTCATCTGGAGGGTGAACCTTGGCAGCCTGCCCAAAGTTTGTGAAAATGCAGAGAAAAGCGGTTGATGTGAGCACTGGGTAGTCGACCCAAGAAATTGGAAAGAAAGCCTGTCCCATGGGCCTTGCTCCTCACGTCCCTAAGGAGTTTGCTGCGTCTCTCACCAACACGGTCCGATGCCAATCTTTTTTTTTTTTTTTTTTTTTTTTTTAAACACACAGTCCCTCCAGTGCTAGCGATGCTGTTTAGAGCAGACATCGCTAGCACCTGGGGAGAGGCTCCATCTATTGGTGGGGAGCCAATCTTTTGTGGGGTCAGCGTCAATCTTTGGCGTGTGGTGCGTCACTGCACACACTCTCCAGTTTTGTTTTCCATCAAACCGCGAGGATCATGGAGAATCCATGAGTGTTGAGTGTTCCAACAAATAAAGCTAGTCTCCATCCCCAACCTCAACTCCAGGAAGCAGATGCTTCCAGGAAGCACCCTCGTCCATGAAAAATCCTCAGAGTCTGACGGCTTCCCAGTTTTGCTGGATGGGTCACCTGTCTGACGTGTCCTTTGCGAGTCTTGAGTGCGTCCAACAACTCTACTGAATCTGCAGCCTGCAGCCTCAACTCTACGCAGATCCTCCCACGAAGCATCATAAGACAGCTTCCCAGTTTTTTTTTTGTCCTCATGTAATAGGGCCCAGTGCCCAAGGCAATCATAATAATAATAAGAGACAACTGCGCCTGTGACAGCTGCACAGTTCCGAATTCGCAGAAATAACAGTCCACTGCAAGATTGGACCGTGAGTAGTTCGAAACAGCAAAAAAAACAGTGAACTGCGCTTTAGATGGCCTACCCGTTCCATAATAGGCAAAAACGGGAGGTGGCCTGGCCTAGCAGGTACCCGTAGCAGGCCCTCCCGTTTTTTTTCGTTTTTTTTTTTCCTTTTTGGGCTTCTGGCGGGCTGGAAAAAGATCCCACGTTGTCAGTACGTGCCCCGTTAACGCCCGCCCCGTTCTCTCTCTCTCTCTCTCTCTCTCTCTCTCTCTCTCTCTCTCTCTCTCTCTCTCTCTCTCTCTCTCTCTCTCTCTCT